CTTATTTCAAGGGCTTTCCAAAAACCTATAATAAAGTATTTTTTTATTAGGCATATTTAGAATTATGAGGCTTGAAAGGCTTTTGGTCTTTAACTGTTTCTGCTTCGTAAAACCGTATCGCTGTCTTCTGAACGTTGGATTTAGAAATAGGATTGCGATCAGGATATGTAGCATTGAATCAGATCAGCTACTTCTTGATATGATCTAATGCGGTCTCCAAATCCTCGATAAATAAGCAGCATTATTTTTTCTTTTTCGGTTAACATTTTCGAAAAAGAAATTTGAAACTGTAATTGGAAAAAGAAAGAGAAAAGACAGAATGAGATACGAGAGAGCGCGACTCGTTTTTTAAAATACAAAGATCGAGAAGCGTTATCGAGAAGCGCGGGTATGCGCGAATTTCGACTGAGTACGTATGATATTACGTCGTGAATGAATAACCGCGATGAGAGCGAATGTACAACTAAGTCGTCTAGCTCGAGACACGAAAAACAAAGTTATTCTTATTTTTCTCCTGTGTTTATGTTTTTTAGGCTCCCAGCCTAGTTGTTCATTCGCTCGCATCGAAAGTGATTAATCATTCACGACAAAATATCACACGTGCACAGTCAAAACTCGCGCATACCCGCGCTTCACGATAACGCTTCTCGATCTTTGTATTTTAAAAACGAGTCGTGCTTTCTCGCATCTTACTCTTTGTCTTTTCCCTTTTTTTTCCAACTACAATTTCAAATTTCTTTTTTCAAAATGTTAACCAATAAAGAAAAGATAATGCTCTTTCTTTATCGAAAATTTGGAGACCATATTAGATCATACGAAGAAGTAACTAATCTACATATTCAATGCTGCATATCCTGACCGCAATTTTATTTCTAAATTCACCGTTCAGAAGACAGTGATACGTTTTTACGAAACAGAAATAGTTAAAGACCAAAATCCTTTCAAGTCTCATAACTCTAAATATGCCTAATAAAAAAAATACTTTATTATAGGTTTTCGGAAAGCCCTTGAAATAAGTTACAAGAATATGTAATAAAAAGTGGGGGTCCAATTTAAAAAATTCAATTTGATCTTCGTATGACCTTCGTCCTTCACCCAAAGTCAAATTTTTAGCCATCATTAGGTACATTTTATTAAGCCCTACAACTTTGCTACTTGCATATTTTTCGTTACAGTTGATCCTTTTCGAGATATTTGACCGTTTCCGGACTTTTTACCAACCGTTTCCGGACTTTTTGCCAATATATATTTGTAATAGATATTATTTGTGAAACGTATTATTCATTTAAAACCAATATTTTTATGTTTAAATGTTGCCTTGTAAGTTGTGTTTAGTTAAGCTGAGTTATCAAAGTATAAAAGATATTAATTTGAGGTCATCCTAGTAATATGCGTATTTAATAAAGTCATTAAAACCATTAACGCAACAAGAGAATTAAATAATTATCATTATATTTTATCATAGAGATGACACGATGCTAACATTATTTCGCTAACTAGTTCGCGTCTTAGAATCGTCTTAGAATAGTATTATAAAAATAACAAATTCTTTTTGCAACTTTTTTCCGCCGAAATTGTTATTTTTATCATACTAGAGGATTTCATATGTCATTTGGATGATATCCTTGCTGAGTTAGTCATGGGGTTTAATGGGTTAATAAGTAATTAAAGAAGAATTTGTGTATTATGTATATACATTTTACATGGTTTCAAAATAAATTTATTTTTAATGAAAAGTTGATTTCTAAAGATATGTTTGGCTTAGAAAATTGTTGAAAATTGTGTTAAACGGGATGCTCAGTATCGATATTTGTACTGAAACAATTTTAATAAAAAATGTTTAATATAACGGATATTAATAAAAAAATATTAATAAAAAATATTAATAAAAATTAATACAGCGGAACAATAAAACATCTTATTTAAAAATACTGACACTGCTGTAAGAACGTTGCCACACTATAATGCGTTTTTACTACGAGTATAGATTCGCGGAACATCTTGAAAATACCTTTTCCTTAAATATCGGAATAGAATTACTGTTAGTGACGATAGCAATAAGTATTACATTATTTCAAGTACGTACCTAATTTTTGGAAATATTTACGATATTCTTATACCTTCAATCTTGGTGTAGTACAATGCTTGGAACTAGATGCACATTTCGATGTGATGAGTTTATCGATGCATGCGATAACAATCCAATTCCGTCACTGATGCAGTGAGGTGTCACCGATTACGGTTCTAATTATAATCAGGTTAATAAAATCAGATTTACGAAATATTACGTTGCGATCAGGCGACACCGTGGAAGCCATGAGATATATACTTTATGTATTAGCACAAATTCATTTATTCACATTTTGTTGGAAAGGCCAAAGATTGATAGATCACAGTTTGCTAATGCGT